ATATATATAGTATATATATATATATATATATATATATATATATATATATATATATATATATATGGGAATGCTAATATACTCTCACCTATTTTTTAGTAGGAGTATGTTAGCAACCTACACCAAAATTTTAAGACAAAAAAATCACTCATTTCTTTTTTTTTAAGGGAAAATCACTCATTTATTTTAATTTGGTTAATTTCGTACAAAAAAATATTATAATAATTTAATATAATTTTAAATAAAAATAAAATATTTTCTCTCTCTTATTAATTTCATTCTCCAATTCATTTATTTTTTCTATTAATTAATTTTTAATGAGTTGGATAAGAAATTTAATAGGAGAGAAAAATGACTTCAAGAATGAAATTAATAAGAAAGAGAAAATATTTTATTTTTATTTAAAGTTATATTAAATTACTATAATATCTTTTGTACGAATTAACTAAATCAAAAGAAAAGAGTAATTTTTTTGTTCTAAAATTTTGGTATAGGTTGCTAACATACTCTTACTAAAAAATAGGTGAGAATATATTAGCATTCCCTGTATATATATATATATTTATAAATATTTTGAGACAAAAGGATAATTGATAAAGAAATACAATTTCGAATTAAATGAGAATTCTATTTAAAAATGCCAATGGTGATGGATCATTGTGATCCGAAGACACGGAAATCAGTGATGGTTATTACTTATCAGTGGTCATTGGCAATGACATGACATGACATGTCACGTGCCAACTACCATTATGGTCAACAATAATGATTGCCGCTGTTCGTTAATGGCAATGCTACAATACATCAAAACTTAGATGTCAGATCAGTTCTTCATGCATTTTTAGTACAGTTTTTCAATTAAAATTAAAATTTTATCTTGTTAATTTGCATAATAGAAATTTACCTCAGATAAATATACATTAATTAGGTAAAACTTGAATTTTAATTAAGAAATACTAAAAATATTGAAGAAACTGTATCCAAATTCTGCCCTCAGCTATATCACACTAGTTTTTCAGTTCCATGGAATTAAACACAGAATTGGAATTCAATTCTAATTTACACACCAAATAAGATAATTAGAGTTAGAAGTCCAAGCACATATCCAACCATAGTAATCAATCCCAAACAATAATGCAAAGTAGCCAATTCCAAAACTGTTAATTGCTATTGTATAGTGGTCGAACGACTGAATGTATAATTCCAAGACACCAAGTAATTCAAATGTCGGATTATCCTCGTTCTCACATTTATCAACCAGTGCATTATCAGAACACTGACTAAAGAATCTAAAATCTAAAGTAGAAATTTTTTATTAAAAAGTGTATATTATAATTTTTAATAAAACTTTATACATATTAATTTTTTTAGATAATGTCGGAAGGGTACTAGTTAACAAGACTCTATTGAAAATAATTCTAGAATGTTACTTCATTTATAAGGCTCAATATATGATTTGAGTATGACACGCGTGGCTTGATGACTCATTCACTCATAATTAGATAAAATATCAAAAGATGTAAAGAGCAAGTAATATAGGTTTTTGTAATGGAATTATGGAAAATTGATCCATGTGTGAAGCTTGAGAGTACATAGAGTAGTCCCAACTCAGTGAAGGGTGGCCATGTGCACAAGACACCATCATTTTGGGTGTAAGAGTCAGAAACATAATCATACTCCCATGAAAAAAAAACAGGTTGTTTCGTGATTAAAACTCTTGACCACCAATTCTTAAAGTAGCAAGGCTCAACACTCAACAAAACATGCAGACATAAGCATTAAAATTCAGAGACCTCTCCAAAAACAAAAATGAAAAAAAAATTCTACAGTTAGATAGAATCAAATTTTTCTCCGAGGAGATCAACTTAGTGCATGTTTGGATTTGAGTTTAGGATCCACATTTTTCAACAAATCTACGTCCAAAATACTTCAATGATTCAAAAACAAGTATTCCTTACTTCAAGTTGATGCACGTTGACTTAAGAGTGACACTAAACCCAAAAGGCTTTTAATCAATTTCACATTACCCGTCTGATACCTATAACCTTCTCATGCAACAACCCAAACTAGCAGCATTTGTTTGGCAGCTGTTCCCGCCATAACATTGGAGACATGTATGATCGTCAGGCTGCGTTATTGAACATAATATCATTGATTCTGTCTATACCAATATCCGATATGGGTTTGATGGGTTTCTCATCTTCTAGAGAAAACTCAAGACTCAAAGGATCCCTACTGAATTCGTCTGAACAAAGAAATGTCCATATCAGCTATTGGAAAACTTGAACTAAAAGGTTCAGCACCGAACTCACAAATTATATATATATATATATATATATATATAAGGAGCATATCAAGTGAGAGAAATTTATTATGAGAGAGTGAGAAGGTTAAAATATAACCCTTAGATTAATTTTCTCTCACTTGATTAAATCCCAAATTTTCTCTCACTTGATTAATTTAAGGGTTATATTTTAACCCTCTCACCCTCTCATAATAAATTACTCTCACTTGATATGCTCCCTATATATATATATATATATTTAGATGTAATTGTTTATACAACATCATTTTTAGTTGTCACACAAAATGGAGGGCTTGCCACTGATAAAGACCATCCTTATCACCATATGCGGTTATGAAAACATACCTGTCCGAAATGAGAATATGCTAACAGCTGCAGTTGCTCATCAACCTGTGAAGAATGGGGTGCATCTGGCAATATTAGGATGAAGCGTGGTACTAAGGATAAAGATGGTGCTTGTGGCATTGCCATGGAGGCTAGCTACCCTGCCAAGCATTAAGCAGTTTACTAGGCTAATTGACCTGCTACAGTTGGGGAATGATATATGTCAGCTCAAGAAAGTATGGCTCTGCAACTATAGTATTTAATTTAATAATATGCAGGTAGACTAGGAAATTTTTTTTTGGCTTGTGAATTAGGGACATGGGGAGGATAACAGAAGTTAGCTCCACAATCATATCGAAACAGTTAGAAAAAATACAAAATAAAGTGAAGTTAAAAACTCACAAATACCCTTCACTTCCTTTGTCATGTCCTTTGCATGGAACCCCAGTGGTCCCCAAATCCACCTAAGTAGTGACACCACCTCTAAACCCAAAACAAAGAATCCACCCAAACCCGGTGATGAGAATAAGTTTATTATCATTTGAGCCAAACGAAAGAGAAGTTAATTACAAAAGAAATAAGCCATATTAAAGTCATTAAAAAAAAAAAAAGAAGCTGGAACACTCTGTAAAAATTACACAGTATCACCCAACAATTTATAACCAGGTGCATTTAATATACTCACATTTTTTGAGTAATTGATATACATTTAATTACTTCCTGTGACAAAAATCTATTTTATACCAAATTTTGTTGAATTTGGTACAAAGTAACTAACAAATTTAGTTAGGCAAGGTAGGAATATTAATTCCACAATTCAAACGAAACCTTGCTCTGTTGAATATGCTCACCCAGTTCCATGCTTTGACATTACCCAAATGCTTTGTAATTCTGAGATCCTTGTACTGATACTGCATTACTCTGCGTCAGAGCATGAGAAAATCTCAGCAATGTCATTGAGAAAAGAACAGTGACACCATACTGCAAAAGTCACAAGTCTTAGCTACATGTAGTCACTTGATCAGCATTAAGCATTGTACTTGGCCCACTATAAATAATTTAACAGCTAAGATTTAAGTGCAGCAAATCTTTGTCTCACAGCACAAGCTATCTTCCATTCATCAATACTGGCCAAACCATCAATAATCTTCTGCCTGACCCTGATGTATGGTATAAAACCTCTTTCTGTCATCCCCGTTGCAACCTTTGCAGCCAAAACATATTCACGTTTCTCCAAGCACCCTTCAATCACTAACTCATAACTCTCAAATCCAACAAAACTACCCTCTTTCTCCAGGAATTCAATCATCTCAACAGCCTTCCATATCTCCCTGTTTGCACGTAATGCTGCCAACAATTTCACCAGTGTTCCCTGTCCTGGGGTTAAACCATATTGCACCACCATTTGCTGCATCAAAACCAGTGCCTCATCAGTCTTTCTCACTCTGCACATTGCACCAATTACAGTGCCATAACTATTTGAATCAGGAATACATCCTGCCCCACCCATGGCCCTCAGAACTTTAACTGCCTCCACTAGCTGATCAACAGCACAGAGAGATGATAGTAGATAATTACAAGTCCCACAGTCAGGATGATATCCAATAGATTGCATCTGAAGTAGAATATTAGCTACAGAATGAGACAGACCTCGCCAGTTCAACCAAGCAGATGAGAGAAGAACATGGGTCTGAGGAACAGGAAGGCAACCAGAACGTAAAGTTCGTTGTAGGACAGCTAGTGCAAGGGGGAAGGGATGGGAGCTTTGAAGGGTGTAAGAAAGAAGATAGGAATAAGCTAGCTGGGGCTTGGAGCGTGGTCTGATAGGTATAAAAGATTGCAACATTTCATCAACAATTTGCACTTGTAAGTTCTGAGGAAATGAAGAAAAGAAAGAAAAAGGATTTGAATTTTGGCAGGACTCCAAAGGAATGAGAATGTCAGGAATTTTAACATAGTTTTTGGCTTCTACTTCCACTCTAACAGCCTGCTCAAGCTTTTGCAGTGAAGAAACTGAACGACCTAAATTACAATGGTTCAGAATAGGGTGGAAATGAAGAAGAAACCTACGGTGGATTGCTGCTCCCATCACCATTCTTGATCAGCTAATACAGTAGTAGAACAACAACTTTTGACATAAAGAGAAATGAAACCTGTGGAAAAGTGCCAGAAAAATACTTGCTCGATCAATAGAGGAGGCAAAGGGTATGAGAACTATGTCACAAACAGGGAAAAAATGCAAAGACGAGGCCAAGCATTGATAAAATATCAAAATCATTTTTTTTCGTATATTATACAAAAGAGGCGCCATTACTTGGGGGAATACGAAATTGTGCATCACTAGAAAGTAGAAAATATCAACTGGACATTGCCAGGAAGAAAGTGAAATGATTAAATCACAAAAATGTGACATGTCATGCAGCACATCATCACCAAAAGCCATGATATCTGCATATCAATGTAAATGTATGTTGAAATTAACAACAAACATACAATGCAATGGCTAACATAAAGCATATATAACTAAGTTCAAACATTATTGTCAAAACCGTGATTGGCGTTGTGTATTTTAGGAAGTTTTATATTTGCTATGCTGTATTTCTGTAACAGTCTTATGCTGCCATTATTAGATTTATTTATGCAGGATTAATCCCGTAATCATAGGGATTTGTCTCCTTAGAATTAACTGTCCATATTTCCTAAAATAGGCTGCAGATTCATGTATATATATAGAGGTTTAATAACCTCATAAATCAATAAGAGAGAATATTATTCCTTCTAAATTTGAGAT